CAATAAATGATCATTGTTACTGATTGACATGGTGACAAGAATAGAACCATCGACCTTAAAGACAATAGCACCCAGAAGACAAAGAGTCCATCTCATTAAAAAAAAAAAAAAAAAAAAAAAAAAAAGGAAGGTGGGTTCAAGTCCACTCCATGGTAACAAATAACCCCAGTGACTTATTAAAGGAAAGGTATTTTACTACAAAGCAATATACAGCCATGCAGGCTGCTGGGATGGAGGAAGAATATTCTAGGCTCCAGTTAGGGAGCATCACCTGTAGCGAATGAGTTCTGGACAGGCAGGGACTTAGACAAAGGGGAAGGGAACACCGGAAGGGAGAGGGGCAACAAGAGCAAGCGTTTCTCCCTCAGTGGCTGCCAGTCCCCCAGCCTCCCCTACACTCACAGGAATAAAAATAAAACTAATCCCCTTCCCTCATCCAAAGAAGCATGTTCTCTTCTGGCCTCTGGCTGATGGGTCTGTAATCCCTACTCAATCCCTGTCCCTCTCATCTCAGCTCTGCTTCCCATCTGCTCACAGCAAAACAGCTCACCCAGGGCAGGAGCCCTCCCGGAGAGGCGCTGGGGAAGAAATCGCTGGCTAGGCAGAAATCTTATCATTGAAGAATGGGATCTCAATGCAGGGATAGGTTCTCAAGCCAGGATGTTAAGATTTGCTTATAATCCAAAGCATCTGGCACATAGTAGGGACTCAATATACAGACTCTGGCAGAAGGAACACCTGCTTGAGTGTGGCTGGTAGCCTAACAATATGGTATAATGATTTAGTTTTAATTTGAACATTCCACCCAGAATGTCACATGGTATGATTGAGTGTGATATTGTTATATTACAGAATTACATGCTTATGGTTTTGTAATAAAAGATTTTTTAATAAAAAAAAAGGGGGCATTATCTGGGCCAGCCCCTGGGTATTTACAGAATGAACTAAGCTTTAAAGGGGAAGTTCAGCTCTATGCTTCTGTGCGGCTGTACTGTCACCATTGTCCTGAGCAACTCTGATCCTGCAGGGACACCAGAACTTCAAGTGGGGAAAGGGCCAAAGACCAGCCCTTTAGGACACAACACGGGACAGAAAGAACAAAAAGTAAGGCTGGCCTTTAGAGCCCCAGGTGGTTGACTTCATTAGGTGCTGGCCTTGGAGGGGCCAGTACAACCCACGGCATTTCCAGTCCTCCATAGATCAACCTCCAACAGGGTCCCAAGGCCTTGACCTCTATTCCGTATATCACTGGCTTCTCTATTATCATCATCTACCTTCAATATTTTTTTTTGGCGGGGGGGGGGGGGGGGGGGGCAGGGTCTCATTTCATAAAATACAGCCCTTTGTTTTCCCTATGTGACCATGAACTCTCAAAGACCAGGACTTCGTCTAATAATTCTGGCTAAGGTGATGCCCAGCGGGATGAGGTCAAAAAGAATGAGGATGAGCATGCCCACCACAGAGAGGTCAAAGAGCACTGATGGTCGGGCGCATGTGGCACACTCCACTGGGGGAGTGGTTGAATGGCTGAAAAAATTCGGGACCCTTGCCTCACTTGGAAGATGCCACATGCGTCTGAGGGCATCAGACTTGATTTTGGTAGGACTTGGAGGAAAAACCTGAGCTCAAGCGTCAGTCCTTCTGGGAAGCCCCCACCTCCCTAGTGCCCTGTCCCCACCTCCTAGAGGCCAGGCAGCAACTGCAACTGCAAGGTGTTCCTGCAGCTGCTTTTACCACAAGGATGACATCATTGTGTCCACTTCCTGTCTGTCTCCCTCTCTGACACGGAACCTCCTAAGACCCAGGGAAATGTGTCAATCACCACTATACCCCAGCGCCGTCCCAAAAGCCGGGGGCATGGCAGGTGCTTAGTAAGTGTTTGCTGACTGAAGAGAGAGCCAAGCCAAGGGTTCCTGGCCAGGAATTATCGGGACTCAGCAGATCCAAAGTCCAGCTAGCAAGAAATCAGCAGGACCCACCTTGTGAGACAGGCTAGGTGTAGGCACTGCACATTCCTGGCGAGCCTGTCTGAGTCCCTGAAGAAGCTGACTGCTGAGAAAGCCCCCCAGGAGGGGCAGTGCAAGACGTGAGTCCGGTCTTTGACAACGGCCTCAGGAGGGTGGGCAGTGTGTGTGGCGGCTGCTCCCAGCAGGTCAAGTTTGTGGAAGTCACATGTGCTGTGGTGGGTGATTATCAAGCATTATCTCATTTTACCTTTTCCATCGCCCTAGAGGAAAGGTACGACGGTTCACTTTATATTTTATTTATTTATTTTTAGAGAGAGAGGGAGGCAGAAAGAGAGGAAAGAGAAATATCCATCCACTCCCTCTCCCACACACCCGGACCAAGCTCGTGCGGGACCTGACTGATTGAACGGGTGACTTTTCCCTCTGCAGGACCACACCCAGCCAACTGAGCCACACCCGTCAGGGCCGCTGGTCTGCTTTACAGGTGCAACTCTGAGACCTCTGTCCTGTGGACTCCGGAGCCTAACAGGTGCTTAGCACATGCTCCCAGTGAAACTTTTTATACAACCGCACAGCCACGCCTCCTGATTGCCACCCCACCCCCTGCCCCAAAGATGCTCAAATCCCCACAACATCCAACATTCCAACAAGTGTCTTGCCTCCCCTCTCCCATGCTTGAGGGTTCACGACCTCTCCAGCCAGCCAAGCTGATCCTTGGGCAGCTCTGACCACTAAAAATGCTTTCCTGCAGGATCATAGTATCTACCCATCAACTTCACATCTCCTCCCTGTATCTACACAGAGCGATCCTAATCGTGGGCACATGACAGCCCTCCAGCAATCTGGTGGCAGTTATTACCTCCCCTCCCCCGAGGTTTAGAAAGATGCCTCAGAAAGAAATTGCACAGGCTGCTCAGCCTGAAACTGTTTCAGGCAGATTAACAAACGTCTTCCCTTGATAAAAGAAATCAGAGGGAGAAGATGGTTATCTTGTTGCAGTGAGAGCTGTCTCTCTCTGGTGGGGAGGGAGAGAGAGGACCTGGACTAGAAACCAGAATCTATGTAAACCCTAACAGTCTTGCCAAACTGTTTTACAGAGAAGGAACAGAAAAGCAGGCAGGGAAAGTGACACAAAGAAACAGCTCTTAAGTGGCAGGGCCACAGAGCCCTTTGCACCTGCGGCCCAGTCCCACCCGCCTCCCCGCTGCAAACCGCTCCAAAACGCTAGAGCACCTGTGATGTCAGAACTGCACTCCCATAATAACTGCAACGCTACAGTCCCATTTTCGCCACCACCCCAGGAGGTAAAGGGAGGAAACACAGCGTTTGCTCCATGTTACAGAGAGTAATAAGGAAGCTTGGAGAAGCAAAGGAACTTGCTTAGGCTCCCTGGCAAAATGAATTTATTCTTGGAACTCAAAGCCCTGTGAAAGCCCTTTGCTCTTTGTTGATAATGGGCGACCGAAAGAGGCCGGAGGGTATCTTCCTCTGGAAACCCCTAAGGGGAAGGGAGCCGCCTCTACCTGCTGTGCAGTTTACAATGTTTTATGATGGCTGGATGCACTGATAGAGGAAGACTCTCAAAACCACACTCCTCTTCCCTTTCTCCCTCCCCAACCAGCATGCTTCAGAGAAAGAGCACTGTGGAGGGTGACCAGCTCTGTGACTCGCAGCATCACTCCTCCTCAGGCTGAGTCTCCTCCCCTACAAAAATAGTGGCAAGACATTCTGCCCCGTTGGTAACTGCTGGGAGGCTCGGGGGACAGGCCAGGCGGCAGGCAGGAGGCCCGGAGGCTCACTCCCGCACCGGTCCCTTCCTTTCCCTCATTTCCCCATTCACCTGCTCCTCTGCCATCCTTCTACCCAGAGCAGGTGAAAGGTCGCGAAGGTCTCACTCCAGGCAAGGGCAGGGAAAGAAAAACAATTGTGACATCACCCTACTAGTCCTTCATATTCATATGTGGTCTCTATTTTTCCAGAGAGCTTTAACTGTCAGTAGCATTACAGTTTCCATTTATTAGTCCCCCGTGTGCTATGCACCACACCGGGGGCTCTGCACGCTCTTCTGAGATTAACCCTCACAACCACTCATTTCACAGATGACAAAACTTCGGCTCAGAGGTCAAGGGATAGCCACTTCTAACAGCAGCTCCCAACTCGATGGACTACCAAGGGCTAGATTTTTAAATTCCACTGAGGCAGAGCCTGTGTCCAGGGCTTAGCACTGGGCCTGCCCCTAGACCGCACTCAGTAATTTGTTGAATGAGTCAGTGAGTATCTGACTCAAAAACCTGTGTATGTTTTAGCACTTCTCTATATTAAGTCTCATTATGTCATTTGAATCATAACAAAGTTCTAATCAACGAATGATCACCCCCATTTGACAGATAAGGAAATAGAGGCTCAAAAGAGTTAAGCAGTCCAAGGTTCTACAGCCTTTGTGCAGCAGGGCTGGGAACAGGCTACTTTCGGATCCTCTGCCCCGACCACAGCTGACCCAACGGTGCTGGGGTAGATTAATAGCTACAGTGCGCCGCAGGACCAGGAGTTGCACCCATCTCCGCACATACGGAGTTCACAGCTCCGGGGGTCCCCGGGAGCCCGGAGCTGCTCCCCGTGGGTGGGGGCGGCCAGGCACAGCGTCTCCAAGGAGGGAAACACGGAGGGTAGAAGGAAGCCAGTCCTGGGTGTAGAGAGGTGCCCCGGACCTCACAGACTGCTCGTCTGGGCCCAAGCACCCCCGCGAGTCCCAGCTCCGGACTGACGCTGTCCAGCTGGGGAGTGGAGGAGGGAGGAGAGCCTAGAGGCATCCAGGGAAATCGCAGTCCAGCGATGAATCACCGGCACATGACCCCGGTGGGGAGGGGAGGGTGCGGAACGGGCGCGCGAAGCGGCTGCGGCTTGCGGAGGGCAGGCCTCGCGCTCGGCCCCGCTCCGGCCTGGATTTGGGGAGAGAAGAAAAGCCCCTCTCCCGCGCAGCTCTACCCTCCGAGGCCCCCCGCCCGCCGGGTTCGCGGGGGCGGCGGGACTCACGGCCTTCAGCTGCTCCAGCCGGTCCTTCATCCTGGTGCCCAGGCGCCGGGAGGCAGGTGAGCGCGTCCCAGGTGAGCTGCCGGAGGTGACGAGCCGGCCCGGGCCGGGCCAGGGAGCTGGAGGCGGACGCGGGCGGCGGCGGCCGGCTAGGAGGAGCGTCCGAGACCACGGGAGGCTCCGCCAAGCCGCCCCCTGCGGCCCCGCCGGCGCCGCGCGCTCCAAATCCGGCTCCGGGGCCAGCGCCGGCGCCTAGCGCTGATCCGACCGCGGACCCGCCCCTTACCTGGGCCGCGCCCCGCGCTCCGCCTTAAAGGGGCCGTGCCCGGCCGCCGCCCCGCCACCCTCGGCGGCTCTAACTCCTCCTGCCCGGCTCCGGGTCTCTCGAGGGAGCAGAGAAATCCCGGGAGAGGGTCCGGCGCTGGCTGACCCCATCGCAGGGCCGAGGAAGAGCCAAGGGATCTGTGTGACCTCAACTCCATCCTTTCCGTTCGACAGACATCCGCTGCCTGTGCCAGGCTCGAGCCCTCAACAGGTTCATTCCTTGTGGCGAGGTGGGGACAGCGTCCTGTAGACAAAGAACTCGAACACGATGCGATTTGTGCTCTAATGGGTGGGAGAGAGAGCAGCTAATTATTCCTGGGGGAAGGGCATTCTAATAAAGGAATTGGCACACCTGGTAGGGGGTGGTCCTACCGGAAATAACTGGAGGTGAAGACTCGGGACAGGGCAGGCTGGCACGAAGAATTCGGATTTTATGGTGTTGGCAGTCGGGACCCTTCGGAGAAATGTTACGCAGTTCAGTGTTGAAGTCGGAACGCCTGGCACTAACCCTGTGCATCACCGCGGGGAAATCACCGTTTCTCCGGGGGACTGTTTCTGTATCTATAAATCAGAGCCAACACTCCCTTCACGGTTTGGTGCGAGGCCTGTGTGGCAGAGGCGGACTGACAGATTAGTAAATTATAGCTCAGGGTTGTAAGTAAAGATAGTTGTATTGCAAAGCTTAAGCCGTTCTCACTTCGTCCGTGAGGTAGGCTCCCAGGTGGACTGGAACTTCCGAAGGGGGGTGGGGAGGGGTCTTTGCACGGCCCCTCCTTCTTTATTCCCCTCCCTCCCCACCCCTCTCACCTCACCCTCTCTCCGCTTGTCCTATTTGTCCCCTTTCTTGGGAACAAAGGACATACTCAGCAGACAGTGACTCTCAATAAATGGGACTGATAGTCCAAAGATTCATCGCTCAAGAAAAGAATCTACTCTAACGCATTCAGGTTAAAAGGCTGTAATATTTTTCGTAATTCTAGCAGACCTTTGCCCTTTTCTGCGATCTCAGCGCGTGCTCCATGCTGACTTCATCGCCTCCCATAAAAATACGTCTGTACAGCCCGGGAGAGGCCGGGCCGTTTGAACTCGGCCAGTCTCAGCCCTCATCCTCCCTCGGGAGTCCCGAACACTTCCTTCTGCCGCAGGCGTTGCCAGCTAGGTGGAGTGTCCCACCTGTGGTGCTAGGCGGCTTCTGCGCCCCCTGGTGGTCGTACACAGAAAAAAAGTAAATCAGAACTATAGCCCGTGTCCTCTTAAAATCTTTATTGGGATAGCTGCGTGCCCGCGCTTCAGGAAAAGCGAGTCTCCTGAATCTGGACACAGAGTTTTGCCACAAATCAGCGGTCACTTCACATCACACAATCTGTTTTCTCATCTTTCAAGTAAGGGAGCGTATCAAAGCTAACGACTACCAGTCTTCAAGATCAAGGATATCATGCATTCTTTTTTTTTCATTTGTGGATCTCTTGTTTTGAAAGATTCCATATCCCTCACAAAATACACTCACTATGTAATAAGAAATTTGGTTTCCTCGAATTCATACATAGCACAGACTGGTCATTGAGGGGAAGAAGCAACATGGGTGAAGGTACAAACTTTCAGTTATTAGATAAATCAGTTCTGGGATGTAATGTACAGCATGGTGGCTCTAGTTAACAATAATGTATAATATATTTGAAATATGCTAAGAGAATAGATCTTAAAAGGTTCTTACCAAAAGAAAAACTGTAACTATGTGAGGTGATGGATGTTAACTTATGGTAATTGTTTTGCAATACTGTATACACATACTCATATACCAAATCATGGTTATACATTTGAAACTAATGGCATGTTATATGTCAATTACATATCCATAAAATTGAGGGTGGTAAGATTTGGTTTCCAATGAGAGGATGTTTCCATGAAGAAAAAAAAAATGTGACCTTTTGGTTAGCCTGCGTGGCCATTCAGAGATAACTATATGATTTTCTTTATTTTTTAAACACTGAAAACAGTGTAAGGAGCACTCTTACCTGCCGTTGGAGCCCAGGAATCCAGGAAGGGAGGCATCAGCAGACTTCTTTTATTATGGCATTCTATTTGAGGGTAGTTTTTACAGATGTCAACCCTCTAAACCTCCTAGTAGGTATGAACCCTATTTTGTTAATTCTATCTTAACATTAGTATTTGTTCTTTCCTGACAGACAGAAGTCTGGAGTCTACCTCCAGTGGTGCACAAAGAAACTGGAGAAAGCCAAGCGCCTGGCACAGGGGGTCTGAGCTACAGGAGCCCCTGCACTGGCAAGAGAAACACTGACACTGAGCCCACGTGGACTCTAGGGTCTCCACGCAAGTGGGCGGGTGGCTTAAGGTTCCAGACTCAGTATCCTCTCTGATGTGTGTTCTTTACTCTGCCCCACAGTGATACTTGGTCTTTCCCTCCCTCCAGGTTTTAGCGCAGCCGTTTCCCCAGTACACAGAGTCAGGATTCATTCAAGTGTTTGCATTTTGTTATAAATAAATCAGCCAACACTTAATTTCATCTTTACGAACAGACCAGAGACACATTCCTGGGACTTGGGGCTCCTCTTTCTTCTCACTTCTCCCTCTCAGCCTGTTTCTTTCTCAGTGGAGAAAAGAACTGAGCCGTACCCCATAGATACTTCCAAAGCCTGCTGTGAAACAGGCAAGACCACTTTCTGGCTGGTGTACCTTGAGGCAGGGTTTCTGGTATATGGTGTTCAGTAGAAAAAGATAAGGGGAGCTAGGGAATTGAAGGGAAGAGTCTGTGTGTCCTCCACATCAGTTGTTTCCCAAGGCAGGAAGGGTGGAGAATAAACTTTCTAACTTAATAATCTTGCCCCCTTACAATTTGTACTAGTTATCTATGGCTGCATAACAACTGGCCCTAAAACCTAGCAGCTTGAAAGAACAAACATTTATTATCCTATCACTTCTGTGATTCAGGAATCCAGGTGCAGCTTAGCCGGGTGCCTCTGTGTCAAGAAATCTCGCAAGACTTTGATGAAGGTGTTGGCTAGGCTGCAGTCCTGTTTCGTGCTCGCCTGGGAGGGATGTGTTTCTTGGGTCCCTTACATAGGCCCTGAGGGCCAGTAGAGTGCGGTCGATGCTGCCCAGGAAGGTGAAGAAGAACATCTGGGCGCACAGCCACGCAGAGAGATGAGGGTTCTCTCTCTGGTCAGGATGCCAACCCGGTTCAGAGGGGACAACGGTGGAAGAGTGGCAGATCGCCCGCGCTGTCGCGTCGGCCAGGAAGAAGTACACAGGTACGCAAAGAGAGCAGTTGGCCCAGATGGTCAGAGAAATGGGGGCATTGCTGCTGATGCTAATCAGATACATAATCAGGAAGGAGACGAAAATCAGCATCTGCACCTCAGCGAGTTTGGAGAAGGGGCCGAAGGGAAAGTGAATCATCCCAGCTTGGTTGGCATCCTCCTTGCATTCAATGCCTCCGACCTGATAATGGCATAGGTGCTGCTCCCTGAAGATAAACAAATGTCAGGGCACAGAGCTCCTCCTGGATGACCCATTCGGCTCCGGGCCTTGCCCTTCCTTGATCTCCTCAACTCCAGCCACCTTTACCTCTAGGCTACATTCAGCAGCTCATCTACAGCAGCCTGTTGTTCTAATCACCCAGAACTAGTTCACCGCTGAAATATTTTTTAATTGTGGTAAGAGATACATTATATAATATTTATAATTTTAGCCATGTGTAAGTACACAATTCAGTGACATTAAATACATTCACAGTCTTGTGTAACCATCACCATTATTTATGCCCAGAACTTTTTTTTTATCCCCAACAACTCTGTGACCATTAAATAATAACTCCTCATTATCTCCTCCTCCCAGACCCTAGTAACCTCTATCCTGCTTTGTGTCTCTACAAATCTGCCCATTCTAGGTACCTCACATTAGTGTAATCATACAACATTTATACTTCTATGTCTGGCTTATTTCACTAAACATAATGTTTTCAAGGTTCACCCATGTGGTGATACATACCAAAATTTTTGCATTCCATTTTATGGCTGAATAATGTTCCATTGTGTGTACATACCACATTTTGTTTACCTACTCATTTCTTTATGGAAATTTAGATTGCTTCCACCTTTTGGCTATTGTGTACATTGGAGTATAAGTACCTCTGAGTCAGCACTGAAACCTTAGAGCCCAGTGTAGCATTCCCAGGCCACAAACCCCTCTATGCTCTTAATCCCTTGCCTGGTTGTCAAGAGCACAGCCGCTGGGGTGGGACCATCTAGGTCCATGATCTGCCATCGACCAACAGTATGACCTTGAGCAAGTTATTGAAGCTTTTTGCTTCAATGTCCTTATCTATAAAGATTAACTCCAAGATTGCTGTGAGAAGTAAATGTTTCTGCCCTCTGTGCATATATACATATGTTAACAATATCATTACTACTACTCTTCCTCCACCTTTTCAAGACTACCTTGATGCCTCCAGTTCCCCCAAATAAGCATGCTTCAGGCTTTATTCCCTGCCCCGCCCCCCAACAAAGATTTACAGTCCATCTCTTCCGTTAGTCTTTGCCAATACTGTCACTGTCCTTGGTTTCTTGACCTTTCGTCAACCCTGTTACCTTCTGTAATATCCAGCATCTCTGTTCCCGGCTAACCACAACTAAAGAAGATCACAAAATTCTACTGACTGGTGCCACAAAATAGAAATTAGCTCATTAGTCTAACCCATTGACACCTTGGGAACCACAGAGGTTGAACGTCTGGGAAGCCGACCAGCACTAGGGGAGGGACACTTCTAGGTACCGTGAATCCTTCCCTGCTGCCTATTCTCCAGGGAAGAGCACGGGGTTTGGGGACTTGCACAGTCAGAATTCTGGCTTCCCTCTGAACTCTCGCTCCTTCTCATCTCATCTCTGAACAAGGCTCTGCCTACTG